GAACACTCGTCCTCCGGGGTGATAATTAGTGACGTTACCACCGGGCCACCATCGCCCGTCCCACAGCATAAACTGTTTGATAAATTATGAGATGAAAAAACATTAGTTTCCTGCATAGTGTGCATGACTGACAAACCGGACAAACAGTATGTAATAATCACTGTGTATTCGCTTTATACGCAGAAAACGGTCATAGACAATTTTAAAAATGTCATGGGCAAAGAAATTTCTGTTCCATATATCGTAACCGATGGTTGGACTTAACGACAACAATAGTGCTCCTATCTAGTTGTCCAATTACAGCTCTGTTTATAACAATGACCGAGGCAAGTAATCGAATGTGAGAAGCTTATTGGTATTCAACGTTAGAGCTGTGTAGGGGATGAGAAAACAAAATTTGATGCGAATTATCGAAAAGAAACATCTTCGAAAACGCTTCATGCCAATGCATCCACCGAAAAACGATTTATTGTTATTTACACTTTTGAAAGATCTTACATCACGGACGAAGTGTCAGCTACCATACACAAGGCTCGGTTGGCATTTGCCAACTGGAGACATCTGTGGCACCGTAGCGACATTCAGCTGTCCGTGAGCGGTCGAATGCATGCTGCAGCAGTTCTGTTGTACGGCGTAGAACGTTGACCATGAAAAAAATAATAAAAATGGATTGTCGGTGTTTGACATCGCTTTCTATGCAGCATTGCACAAATCTGGTGAGGAAAGCGGATGAGCGATACTGAGGTTAGGAGCACAGTTTTGGGTAACCTCAGTCGCTCATTGCGGCAAGTGGTCAACCGTAGACTGCGTTGGTTGGGGCATGTGTTACGCATGTCACCATGTTGCTACGGCGCTCGATGTTTGCCGAGGGAGGTGGTAGGCAGAAACAATCAAAGGGTGGCCAAAATAAGATCTGGTACGAGGATGTGGAAAACCTAACCAGGAGACTAGGTCATATAGGTCTCTTGAGACTCCGTGGCTGGAAACCTCTGGGTGATCGTAACCAGCGGTTAGAGACACTAAATGATATGGCTAAGTGTCGTAAATACTGGCTTTCGTGCCTTTTTTCAATATGTTTGCAACCTTAATGTGCTAAAGTTTTCCTTTCCTCTTCGACTCTGCTTACAACTTTCCTGTCTTTCTCCCACTGTTCACTCAAATGGGCAGCCAAAAGACAGCAACCAAAACCGGCGCCCTAAAGTGTATAGCTAATGGTTATACACACCGAACTGAACTGAATAAGCGTCAAAGTAATAACAGAAAAATGTGGTGCGACCAAGGGCACTGTGCATTCAAATAATCGTCAGTCTCTTTCTTTCACAGACTTAGTAGAATACGGTCAGCAAATACATATCGAAACTGAAATGGTACGTGAAACGGTAAACTCTGAAATATTCATTCACCCAAATGCTGATTGCGATTTTCCACTTGTTTCAGTGCTGCAACAGGCTTGTTTTGCCGGTAACTAACTAATGGTAAAATATGTCCGAGGAGACCGGCAATAAAGGCGATATCGTTCCAGTGGAAGATTCTTTCGAGGAATCAGAGGTATAGTTTGTCTATTTACCACCTTTGTTTTGTCTGTCTGTTCGAATGCTCGCCTTAGTGAAGTATCTTTGTTTTTTAATTGTGGTGGGACAAGGGTTGTTGT